CTAAGAAACGTCTGTAAGGTGATAGTACTAATTACGCAGCTGACAAAGAAAGGGATACCCTTTGTTTGGTCATCTGAGGCACAAACTGCCTTTGGTAAGCTAAATATTAATTAGGAGATCAGCTATTAATGTCCTTCCAGGGATCTTCACCACCTTATTGTCCAATATAAAGCATGGATTCCACACTGTCCTCACTAATCATGAAATTCTGAATCTATGTCTTAAGACATTCTACACCATATAGCTTTTTTCTTTTTTTTTTTCCGAGATTAATTGTCTTGTCGAGTGGAGAACTATTAAAGATTTATGATTAGTGAGGATGGTGTGGAATCCATGCTTTATATTGGACAATAAGGTGGTGAAGATCCCTGGAAGGACATTTTGTGGACTGGGGTGTGATGGACATTAATAGCTAGCACTGATTTCATAATTGATATTTTCCTCTGCTTAAGGAGTTTCTTTTAGCTGCTGCTAAAGTGAGGGATATATTTTTTTCTTTTGGTCTCTAGTGCACTAATTTCAAAATGAGTAGGCTAAAGACTCTTCACTGCTGCAACAGTATTGGTACATCCCAATCCTGAACTACCTTTTATCATGAAAGTGGGTGCTTCAAACTCAGCTGTGGGAGCTATCCTTTCTCAGTGAAGAGGTGAAAAGTTGCAGCTTCATCCTTGTGTTTATTTCTCTTGGTCAATGTGTTCAGCCAAAAGGAATTCTGACATTGGGAATAAAGAATTGCTGGCAATTAAGAAATCCTATTCCAAATGGAGGCATCTGCTGGAAAGGGTTAATCATCCTGTAACTGATTATAAAAACGTGAAATTAATTTGTTCAGCCAAAAGATAGTCTTCTAGACAAGCATGTTGGTCTCTGTTCTTCTCCAGGTTCAATTTTACCATTTTGTATTGATTGAGCCTCTCCAGTAAGGCAGCTTTGAATGTATAATCCCATCTCAGAAAAACTTTTTAGGGGTCACAAGTTCCAAGACATTCTTGAGTCTCCTCAAATAGCGGTCTCGGAATGATCCAGTCCTCGATCATCCTCCTAAGGACATTAACCTTGAGAACAAGAACAGCTTTTGAATTTAAGCACATTGTCTCTATGTACCATAAACTGCTTGGATTGAAGCCCTTGTGAATCTAAACTTGATGGGCATTTTGAGGTTGCTAAAACAGAACTTTTATCACATTCCTTTTGGTTTCCTGGTTACAGAATTTGTGGTGGAGAAAATTCTTGATACCAGGATTTTTAGGAACAAATTACAATATCTGGTTCAATTGTAAGGATATGGGCTAGAAGAAAATTCCTGGGAGCATGTGGAGAATGTCTGTGTCCCTAGATTAACAAGAGAGTTCTATCAGGTGATTTCTCACAAACCTGGCCAAAAGATGTCCAGGCGGTGTCCTGAGAGGAGGGGCGTACTGTCATGACCTGGGCCTGAACCTACAACCTCTGCTTTGTCTGGCAGTGTCTGTTCTTGCAAAGTCACCTGAGATGCTGAACAGCTCCCTGACTCACTTAAGACAACCTTGTCTTGTTTGTCTTGAACCTTGCTCCTCCCATGAACTTCCTATTAAAGCCATGCCTTTGCACTTCCTGTTTGCCAGATTATTGTGTTCTCTGCAGCCAATATCTCACTCTTGTCTCTCCTGCTGCCATCCATATCTTCGCTACCACTTTTTACTGACCTTTGGCTTGTTTCTTGACTATGCTTCTGCTTGATCCTTGCCTGCTGTATCTGCTATAGGACCCTGACTTGCTCACCTCCTGGTGGGGAGATCTTGAGGACCGCGTAATAACACCTAGCAAAACCCATCTCCAGCATCAGGAGCTTTGGTGAATACCGGTTAGTGCTTAGACCTATGCCTCAGGTGACCCTGTGTCATCCACCAGGGTGACCTGCCCGTGTAATCTTTCTGTTAGCCTGTCTACTGCGTTAGCTACTTGTCTCCAAGCCTGACCCCCGACTGTGACTCCCCTGCAATTCTAGATAATTGAAAACCATCTTTGTGTGGTTCAAGTGCTACATATAAGCTATGTCCATATAAGCTCCCCAACAGGTCATACTGGCATTGGTTGAGAGGGCTGTCCAACTGATGGGTCTGTTGGAATGGCAGTTCATCAGTTTTGTTGAGTCTGCATTTAATTTGTTGTGTGATCACTATTGTTTGGGGAAGGGATCCTGATGTCCATTGAAGGAGAAAAGCACATTGAAGCTTGCAAAGTCACCACTGCACCTTTTTTACTATGGGATACTAGTGTAACAAAAAGCCTGAGGAACAGGGCTGTTGGAAAGAGAGAGGCTGATAGGACTAAGGCTACTCTCTTTCAGATCACCCTGACCTTCACACTTGGTAAAGAGAGGAAAACCTGTATTGTGTTAAGCAATGCCCCCAAGTACATCAGGTCCTTTGCAGGTTTTAGCTGACTTGCTGTGATTAATGATCCAGCCAAATTTCTTCAGCACCTCCAATACGCTTCCCTGTGAACTACACATTGATCTTGACTATGTGTTACCAACAGGACATTGTCTAAGTAGTAGTGGTGTCTCCTTATACCCTCTTATTTGATTGACAAGGCAACTACCAGTGGAAATTTTGAAAATATATGCAGGGAAGTTGACAGGCCAAAGCGTAAACATATTAACTGGTAAGGGACGACTTCCAATGTAAATAGTTGGAAACATGCAAATGCTGTATGTTTCTTATAACTCAATGAATAACGTCTCCTAGAATTCTTGCCTGAGAAATTATGCTGACTGACCCCATTTTGTAGTGTTGAACCATTATATGTGTGTTGAGGACCCTGCAGTTGATCACTGGTCTCAAATCTTTGTTCTTTTTCTTTACTAGAAATAAAGGGAATATGACCCCTGAAATGTTTTGGTCCTGATGAACGTGGACAACTGCTCATTTCTCCAACAGTTATGAAATATATTGTAATAGGATGCCCTTCTTGACTGGATCCTCTGGAGACTTCATGGCTTTCAGGGACCCATGGGTCCAAGAATGTCTTCACCTAGACCTATCTGAACAGTACAACTTTGCCCAAACGACAAGCCTGGCCGGACTTGTCCTAAAAATTTATTTTTGCTGTACTTGTCCCTCCAGAGTGGATGACTTTGTGAATGAATACTGTGACTCTCTTCCTGTTCACCTGAACCTTTCTCCCAGACGGTAATTCTTAGATTCTCTAGAGGTTGTTTGAGGAGTTCACCAGCACTGAAACCTTCTCTGCCTCAACAGGCATCAGTCTTGCAGTATATGACCTGATTTGCCACCTGTGGCCTTAATTAACTTACTTAATCAAGCATACCTCCTTTCTACCAGAGCCACTACAGGGAGGAGTTCACCCCCTGATGCTGAGTACACCTTTTCTAAGGTCAATCAGTTATGCAGTCTAAGATATCCCATGATGATGCCACATCCTCAAATTCAAGGGTTACATGCATAACAATCTCTGCTTATGGTGACTTCTAAAAAAGTGGCCTGTCAATCATGACTTTACCAGAGGAAATTGCAGGTAGCAGTGAAAAATAACCTACCAAACCAAAATAAGTGAAACTAGTCCAATATGTGAAGGCAAATATTCATGGCTCCATACAGGGAATGCACAGAAAGACCTCAGCCAGACTGCATCTGTGCACTACCAACCTGGCTGAGCCCTGAAATACATACATTACACTACGGCTCTGCTCCTTAGTACAGACAAGCCAAAGGAAAAGACACTATACCGCCACCTACAAATAGTCACAAATATCTCACTATGCATTTAACAGGACATCTGACCAATGTGACCAAAAAGGTACATCTGCAAAGCCTTACTTAGACTTAGAGGTCATCCTGCAGGACATTGCAGACTTCTTACAGTCAACTGTAGCATTACTACAACAAAGTAAGTAGATGTCTTCAGGCATGATCCTATGGTGGAGAAAAAAAGAGGAACACTCTGGGAGGGATGTTCAGTCTACTACTATGTTGCCCTAAATCATAGGTGTCAAACTGGCAATTCTTATACTGTACCGCGCTCCAATATTATCAACCTTTTGTGATTAACCTTTTTTGGTTGTGGTGAATTTCTTAATATACCACCTATAATCCAATCATTACTTACTTCTATGGTGCTTAAATATACAATTAACATAAATTAATTTATAAATATAAATTAAAAAATTATGTGTGATTATAACAAATATTAATAAAAAATTAATGAAAAATTGGAATGTCAATTCTATGTGAATAAAATAATAAAAAATTAATAAAACATAAAAAAAAAAAAAAAAGGGAATGTCAATTATTTTCTTTGAATTTGAGATGGTGTTGTTATTCAATTTAGTTAATGTGATAAGTCTGTGTTGGCAGCTTGAACCTCTCCCTCGTCTCCTCTCCTCTCTCCTCAGCTCAGCTTTCTCAATTGTGCTTTCTGCCAGTGAAACTGGCAGCCCTCCAGCTGTTCCCAAACTACAAGTCCCATGAGGCATTGCAAAGTTGACAGTTACAAGCATGACTCCCACAGGCAGAGGCATGATGGGACTTGTAGTTTTGCAACAGCTGGAGGGCCGCCAGTTTGACAGCCCTGTCCTAAATGAATGAGAAGAGTGGTGGTTCTGATGCCAGGGAGATGTTAGGAAAACTATTCATCCATGTCAACTGTTTTTTAAAGCTCCATTTGTAACCAAAAAATATATTTATATAAATTTGTGGCCATAGGCTGGGAAATATTCTGCTTCTGCAAGTTCCAGAAAACATAAAGGCCTTTTCACACAATAGAGTTTGAGTAAAACTGGAGAATGCAAAATTTGGTGCAGCTGTGCATAGAAGCCAATCATCTTCCAGGTTTTTTTTTTTTGTCAGAGCTTAATTGAACAAGCTGAAATTAAAAGCTGATTGGCTACCGTGCAGAACTGCACAAGATTCTGAGTGCTCCAGTTTTAGTAAATCTCCCTTATTGTGTTTAATTCAGCACTACTGTAGATTCTCCACCATCTCGATCCTTTTATTAGAAGCAGTTGTTTTAACCCTAGGTTCACATCTGTGCGGGTGGTGCTGCTGCGGGTCTGCACAAAAATCTGTGCAGCCACACCACCCACACAGAGAAATGCGGACCCGCGAGCGGGTTCCATTACTTCTAATGACACGCCACCCGCACTGGAAAATGCAACCATACTGGGAACCGAGGTTCCTGTGCAGGCTGCGTTTTCCAAAGAAGTGCAGGGACTTCTTCCCTGCGTGTCACAGGGCACGGGAGTCCATTCAAATAAATGGGCTCTCGTGTCCATGCAAAATGCGGCCCGCAAGGCCGTATAGATGTGAAGTGGGGGTTAGTGGTGTAAGGAGATTTGTAACATTCATGACGTGAGTTGCTGTGACTTGTGATTAAGAAACGTAAAGTATACGGAATCCTGAATGATGTCCCGACAGTGGTTTTCTTGTAAATTGTGGGTATCGCATTTTACTAGATAGAGTAAAATGAAAAAATTGTTTGCTTTTGGATTTCTATGTATATAGCTGTTAATTAAAACCATAATTAAATATGTCCTGATGGGGAAACACTGTCATAAACACATATATCAAGTGTTCTTGTAAGACAACTACAGACCTGCCTGTTCCCTTTGCAGCTAGGTTTACTGTTTGGTGTCAGAATTTAACATGTAAACATTAATACGCACTGAAGACCTAACTGCTGCTAATTGTGTAACAAGGGAAATGATAAGCTGGGAGTGTGTGCAACACCTAATTTCCAACTGAGATACTTCTAGCCTACTTTTCATAACCATTTTAATTTCAAAACAAGACTAAGCCTGTCAAGAAATAATATGTAAAGGAAATTTAAAAAACATTAACAGCTAACATTGGCGTATACACACACATGTATGTGTGTGTGTATATATATATATATTTTTTTTTTTTTTTTTTTATGGAACACTTCACGAATTTGCGTGTCACCCTTGCGCAGGGGCCATACTAATCTTCTCTGTATCGGTCCAATTTTTTAGTATATGTGCTGCCGAAGAAAGCACCTGCACATATATATTATGATGATTTTTTTTTTGCATCCCAGAGTAAAGGCGGGAATACACGATTAGAAAATCGACCGATTGGTCATCTGATGACCGAGAGGCGTTCGTTTCGTTCGTCGAAATCGTGGCCCACAGTAACCAATCTAAAAAAATCATTAGTTGGGCAATACGTAGTGTTGATGTCTTCCGTACAAGTGGAAGTGATGCGGTGTGCGTGTGACCTTGTAGCCACGCCCTTCCGGCCAGAACAAGCAATATACACAACAATTACCAGCAATGAGTATAATATAGTTTATTACATGACCTATATACATAAATAGTGATACATAAAATATAAAATGCATAATTCTGGTTTCATTATCTCATTAGGCCAATCTACTTTTAACATTTGGATTTTTCGTTTGTGTTTACGAAGATTCCTTGAATTCCTTCCATAAACATGCGAGTCATCATCTTCTGTTTCCGCTCATGCGTGATAGCGCTTGATAGATTTTTTTTCGTAAGACCGTCATACCACCACATAGAAAATCGGTCGTTTGTATACGAAATGACAACATTTTTCACTGTTGTTCAACCGGATTCTTTCGTTTACAATATCATTATCGGTTAAAACATCCTGCTCATCAAAGAAGAAAAAAATAAAAAATCGGTCGATCAGTGGTTCCGCAAAATTTTTTGTACGATTTTCTTATCGTGTGTACGGAGCATAACAGGTGAAAGGTGACTTTCACTGGTTTCCATGGGTTACTGAGCTTTCAACAATTTGATACTTCCCCTATTGAATAAGCCCCCAAAATAGTTTTAAATTATATTTAAAAAATGTCCCAACTTTACAGGATCATTATTCACATAGAACTATGCTTAAATTGATACTTTAATTTCCAAGCATCTTACCTGCTACATTCTAAAATGTAACTTTTGATTTCTTTAAAAAGTTATGATGAAATGTCTTTATATTTTTATTTACACCATATCTCCACCACAAAAATGTGTTCCCAGTATGGATGGTTGTGAAACATTAAGAATCATAGGCTGTCTTTCGAGTGCGGTCTCTATCTTCTCTTTGTTTTCTTATATTTTGGCACTATTTCTCCGTTTTTAGGTTCTATCAACTATCTTCATTTTTTAATATATTTGACAGCTTCTCTTAACTCCTTAATTATGTCAGCTATCCTATCCCCTTTCCCTCTTTGTATTCTCTTTAAGAACTGGTTCACATATATGTGGCCATTCAGGCCGCGTTTTGCGCAGACACGAGAGCCCATTCATTTGAATGGACTCCCGTGCCCCGTGACACGCAGAGAAGAAGTCCCTGCACTTCTGAAAATACAGCCCGCACGGGAACCTCGGTTCCCAGTACGGTTGCGTTTTCCAGTGCGGGCGTGTGCTATTAGAACTAATGGCACCAGCCCGCGGGTCCGCATTTCTCTGTGCGGGTGGTACGGCTGCACAGATTTTTGTGCGGATCCACAGCGGCACCACCCGCACAGATATGAACCTAGCCTTAGTCCTCATGCACACTGGATGTTTTTAAAGCGGCTGTTTTTGGCTTTTGATGTTTTTTGACATTTTTTTCTACAGCTAGTAAACCCCCCAGCATGTTATCTTATGTGTCCATGCACACATACACTGTAATCAATGTTTTTTGGTAGGGACGTTTTTTGGCTGGAAAAAAACCCAGGACTAGTGGGTTTGTAGAGGAGTTTTTTAGCTGTAAAAATGCTGAAAAGCGCGGAAAAAAACGGTGCAAATTACCGTTTTTGGGGGTTTTTTTTGGTAAATAAAAAACGCTCAAAAAAAGAAATGTGGAAAAATGCGGGAAAACGCAGCTAAACGCTAATGCCAAAACGTTTAAAAAAACTAATGTTTTTAACGTAACTTTACACAGCTAATGTTACCAGTGTTATCAAAACACCCCGTGTGCATGAGGACTAAAGGATAAGTTCACCTTAAAAAAAAGAATAAAGGCATTTTTTTTGCAGGTAAAAAATGTGTATTTGCTATCTTTTTTTCCTTAGGAGCCTGTAAAGTATTGCACCCGTTATCAGTAGATCGTGAGTGCAATCTCGGGAGACTGTCAGTGTAGCTGTCTGCCCATACCTGCAATACAGGCAGGCAGTTACTGAAGTCCAGGAAGAATAAATGAACTATGAGGATGTTCATCAGCGCCCTTGTAGGTTATTGAAAACTAAATCCATCAGCCACAAAGGCTGTTGGCACTTTTGTAGTCTATTAATTCACAGAACTCTGTGATGCAATGAAGCTGCTGTGTGGGGCAAATCCTCGCATGGCCGAGCTCTATTCAAATTGTGACAGCGGGTGCAGGGAGGAGATCCATGGCCTCCTCCAGGAAGGGAAGATCTGAAGAAGAGGGTTATCTCGAAACGCGTCCGCCGCATCTGGGCCTTGGGTGGCACTTCTTTGACGTCAGGTCCTTTGACTCATTGTGGAGACACGTACTTTCTCACAGCCTATTTATATGCAATTTATCTACACTCGTGTGTGAGTATAATTTTACCTACGTTTTAATAAATTGGTATTTGGGATAATGCGCTAGGCCAGTGCGCTCTTTTTTTATTCCTTTCGCAGTTGCTTCTGGAGATCGGTGGGAGACCTGCAGGAACATGTTAATATGTTATCCCCTATAAATGAGTGCAACTTGTACCATGTTCCCGAAGAAGAACTTATCCTTTAACCACATGCCGCCCAGCCACTGTAGAAATAAGGCGGCAGTGCGGCACGGGCAGGCAAAACCACGTTTTAAAACGTGTGTTTTGTAAACAGGTAGGGGGCGCGTGCGAGGCGCGCCTCCACCCTACCTGTCCCACCGATCACAGCCGCGGATGTCAGTCGCCGGGTCACAGCCGGTCCTTACCGGCTATCTCCTGGCAATCGGCAGGAATCAGTGACAGAGAGCACAGCTGCAGTAGCTGTGCTATCTGTCACTTCCCTGACAGCTCGAGGACAAGCTGATCGGGACAGAAGAGTTTCACTCTCTCGATCAGCCGTGTCCCCTGCAGTACACACCCCCGCCCCCTGGTAAAATACTCCCCTCACACAGATAACCCTTCCCTGCAAAATAAACTTAACCCCTTCCTCCCCAGTGCCATTAGTACAGTGTCAGTGTTTTTTTTTTTTGCACTGATCACTGTATTGGTGTCACTGGGGATGTCAGTGACCCCAAGTCAGTACCCCCCCGGTGTCAGAATGTCCGCCGCAGTCCTGCCATAAGTCTGCCAAAAAATAATTATTAGTATAAAAAATACCCCTAAAAATCCCAGTATCTTTCCCGCCATTTGTAAACGCTATAACTTTCACGTAAACCAATTAATTTACACGTACTGGGTTTTTTTTTTTAGCAAAGACATGTCGCAGAATGCATTTTGGCAGAAATTTATGACTAAATTAGATTTTTTAATTTTTTTTTTACTGGACATGTTTTATAGCAAAAAGTCCAAAATATTGTTTTTTTTTCCTCAAAATTGTCAGCCTTTTTTTTTATACCGCAAAAAATAAAAACCGCACAGGCAATCAAATACCACCAAAAGAAAGCTCAATTTGTGGGGAAAAAAAGGATGTAAATTTCATTTATGTACCGTATTGCATGACCGCGCAATTGTCCGTTAATCTAGTGCAGCGCTGTATAGCAAAAAAATGGCATAAATTGCAGTATTTATACCATAGTTTGTAGATGCTATAACTTTCACACAAAGCAATCAATATACACTTATTGGGATTTTTTTTACCAAAAACATGTAGCAGAATACATTTGGCCTAAATTAATAACCAACTTTGAGTTTACGATATATTTTTTATAGCTGAAAGTAAAAAATATTGTTTTTTCTTCAAAATTTTTGGCCTTTTTTTGTTTATAGCGTGAAAAATAAAAAACGCACAGGTGATCAAATACCACCGAAAGAAAGCTCTATTTGTGTGAAAAAAAGGACGTAACTTTCGTTTGGGTGCAGCATTGCATGACCGCGCAATTATCAGTTGAATTAGTGCAGCACCGAGTAGCAAAAAGAGGCCTGGTCATTAAGGGGGGTAAATCCTCTGGAGGTCAAGTGGTTAAAATGTAAAATATCTTGACTGACCTCCTAAAGAAGTAAATCCATTTTCTTTTTGTCTTTGTGATCCCACCAGGGGCGGACTGACCATTTGGAAACTTGGGCAGTGCCCGAGAGCCCGGGGTCAGTAGGGGGCCCCATGAGATGCCCCTGGTACCTTTTTCATAGGCTTTTTTGAGTGTGGGCAAGGACACAGGGGCCCTATGATCCCCTATTGCCCGGGGGCCCCATGAGTTGTCAGTCCCCCCATGGATCCCACCAATTGCTTATTAAAGTGACACTAAAGGCAAAATCAAACATTAAGTGATGCAGGTTGTTAACGCAGTAGTCTATATTTCACTGATCCATCCGTATAATATAGTTATATTACCTGGTGATCCTTCCAGTAGTCTGTTCAAGTGAATGGGTCCACATCACAACCACTCTGCATCAGTATTGTGGTGGTGTGGACTTTTAGGGGTTAAAACAGGCAGTGAGGAGAAGATATAATGCCTCCTCACTTCCTGTCAAACACTTTCTGAAAAGCGATCCACTGTAGATTAAACTTCAGAGGGCTAACTCAAGTGTAAACAGGCCCTTAGGGCTTGTTCACTCTAGTGGTTGTGGGGACTATAGAACCCCATGGTTGAACTGTGCTTTTAACACCCCCAACCACTACCCCCCTTTACCTGCAGAGGCAATTGGTGGAGGGGGGGAAATGTACTCAGTTCTACTCTCTGTCACTCTGCAAGTGCCCTGCATCTGCATGCAATGCTCATGATTGTGCCATTCTAGGGATTAAGGCTAGGTTCACACCTATGCAGTTTACCATTTTCTGCATTGCGTTTTGCACTTTTGCACCTGCGTTTTGTACACTTTTTTGCCACGTTTTGTTTTTTAAATGTTTTTTCTTGATGCTAGCCAGATTTTAAATGCAAAACGCATCAAAAATGCGGCAAAAATGTAGCAAAAACGCACTACATCTAAGTCCATAGAACCAAAACTTTATGTTCAAAAAAGTCCCTAACCCTTTCCAAAAAACGCACTGGGTGAAAAGGCGGAGATGTGAATGTGTCCCATAGGAAATCATGTTAAAAGGAATGTAGTACGTTTCTGCAAAACGCTGCAGAAAACACTTAGGTGTGAACCTAGGGTAAGGCAGGCGGTGAGAAGGAGATACAACCTCTCCTTTCACCATAGTGTGTTGCACTCCTTATTAATTTATAATATCTCTTTAATACTTATAATCCCTTATTTATACCCAAAATTAATAATCATATATAAACAAGTGATCTAATTTGCAAAAATATTTAAACGTATGTTCATACCATTAACCAAAATTCATATATAATAATAACTTAATATACTTAAAAAATTATTCTAATTAAAAAACCTCAATAATTCATAATATTAATACATATCCGTGATTATAAAATTAATTATTATTGAACCAATTGTACATCATTATTAGTGAAAAAATATAAAATCTCAAAAATAATTGTGAATAAATACTCATATATAATTAAATAGTATTGTGTAAAAACAGTGTCCCATTAATCATAAAAATAGTGACTCTGTGCTTTATTTAATCTTCAATCCGTGACTGTTTGTGAATCCTCCAATTAGTGCAGATGTAAGCTCACCTCCTTATCTGCCTGCAATTAGGCTATATGCGCTTTCGGTTCACCTCCTTTGGAACCTGCTTGATTAAGACTTTTTCCTTTTTAGATTGTGGAATAGGGATATCCTTTATCACTGATTATCCCCTCTGGGATTGATCCCTCCTCACGATGACACAAGCCCCCTATACTCTCCTCTCCATGCGTCTCTCCTCATATAGGGAAAAAATTCCAAACATAGTGTTTTATCCTTTTAAAATACTGCTTTATTCCTTCCAAGTAGTACACTCACATTTTATGCGATCAATATAAGGCAATCTTGTATATAACGAATCCTCCGCTGACCGTTGAGTCATGCACCCGCCGTCTGTCAAACAATCCGGCTACCTCCGAGTGACGTTGCAGCCCCACCCCTACGCGTTACGCCACTGGTCACGTGGCTTCATCAGGGGGTTTTGATAGGTCAGTCACTCTCCCATTGCCGGCTTATATAGCTCGGCTCCGCCATTTTGTTGTATATCTACAGGGGGCAGCCATGTTTCTGGGGGCAATTTCGTTACATTAACACTCTTTCCCATTGATACATTTGTTGCACTTACTGCATTGCTTCTCCCGGAGGAATACATTGTGACATGACTCTTCGGCTTGCCTGGATTCAAACGATCTCCTTATATATCATACTCATAAGACAATTTTATTCTTTATACTTAAAAACGATCATGTTTTAAGATTATGCAAACCATCATACATGAAAAAATATATAGATATATATAAAAATACATACATCTGTATATAAAAAGTAAAAATTATAATATGTTAAAATATACAAATTAATAATTATACACAAATAATAATAAAAAATATATAATACAGAAAAAAATATTAAAATAAAAATCTCCCTATATGAGGAGAGACGCATGGAGAGGAGAGTATAGGGGGCTTGTGTCATCGTGAGGAGGGATCAATCCCAGAGGGGATAATCAGTGATAAAGGATATCCCTATTCCACAATCTAAAAAGGAAAAAGTCTTAATCAAGCAGGTTCCAAAGGAGGTGAACCGAAAGCGCATATAGCCTAATTGCAGGCAGATATGGAGGTGAGCTTACATCTGCACTAATTGGAGGATTCACAAACAGTCACGGATTGAAGATTAAATAAAGCACAGAGTCACTATTTTTATGATTAATGGAACACTGTTTTTACACAATACTAATTAATTATATATGAGTATTTATTCACAATTATTTTTGAGATTTATATTTTTTCACTAATAATGATGTACAATTGGTTCAATAATAATTAATTTTATAATCACGGATATGTATTAATATTATGAATTATTGAGGTTTTTTAATTAGAATAATTTTTTAAGTATATTAAGTTATTATTATATATGAATTTTGGTTAATGGTATGAACATACGTTTAAATATTTTTGCAAATTAGATCACTTGTTTATATATGATTATTAATTTTGGGTATAAATAAGGGATTATAAGTATTAAAGAGATATTATAAATTAATAAGGAGCGCAACACACTATGGTGAAATAATATGTACACACAGTGGTAGTTATGTGTTGGATGTTTGCGATCCAGTAATATCAAGGACATATTCTGTTCAGATTTGTGCTTTAGGGTGGTTATTTAGTAGATATAGTTTGGCTCGCAAGACATATAAATATTTGTTTATGGTGATACAACCTCTCCTCACCACCTCTCAAATGCTCACTGAAGATTCAGATTGCTCTTTAGCCCCCGGTCACATCGGGTGCGACTTGGCATGCGATTTGCATGGCAGGTGACTTGAAAATTGCATACCAAGTCACACCCTGTTGTCCACAATTACAGCGGTGAAATCGGTGCGGTTCCAACTTGGTCGGAGCCACACCGATTTCTAATGTAGTACATGCACTACTTTTCATGCGTTTTTCATAGACATCCATGTCAGATGTCTTGCAAATTGCACTTGAAATCGGCATGTCCCCTGACTTTGAAATTATGCGAATTCACCGTAAGTCTCACGATTTCAAAGTCGGGCTTGATGTGACCGGGGTGTAAGAGACAAAAGCAAATATGAACTAGAAAAGCTACAATTTCTAGGGAAATTGTGTGAAGTGTTCTTGCCTCCACCAGTAGTCTACAACTGGAGTGGGCGGAGTAACTGGGTGGAGTGGCTTGAGTAACTGTTGTGTGGTTGGAGTGGCTGCAGTAACTGTGAAAAGGTTGGACTGGGCAGAGTAACTTTATGGAGTGGGCAGAGTAACTGTGTGGGAGTGTTTGGAGTGAGTAAAGATAGTAAACATTACACTAACCAATTGATCATAGTATGTCCCTGAAATATTAAAAATGAAGGCACAGTCACAGTTTAGAAATTGCCCTTCAAATTTGAGGTGGCTAGAGTGGCGTTTCAATGAATGTCAATGGGCGGCGTGAGTTGCAAACAAATGGTCATATTGTGAAAACTATCAGGACTATGGCTTAGCCGTGGACATTTTTTGTGGCAGCAGGGATAGCTGAACGTTTTGATATAAGATTTGTGTAGGTGGGCTTGAAAATGAGGGAGTGATGGCAGTTTAGAAATCATGTCCTGATTTGTCAGCTCATACTCTAGCTTTTGTCAGCTCCCACTCTAGTTTTGAACATTCCGCCATTCATTCCTATGGAACCAATTTCACCACACAAATGCTGATATTTCGTGACCCATTCGGCGAAACGTTCCACAAAGTAATAGCACACCAATCGGGAACAATCCGCACGTTTCGGTATATTACTGTGTATGTAGTGTAAAAACTGTGGGAGGAGTTAGGCTGGTAAATTTGGCTATAATAATAAAAATATATATGTGAGATAACAGGAAGTGGTCTTGCCATGCAAGAACACTTAATGAGCCCTTAGAGCAGGGGTGTCAAACTGGCGGCCCTCCAGCTATTGTGAAAGTCCCATCATGCCTCTACCTTTGGGAGTCATGCTTGTAACTGTCAATCTTGCAATGCCTCATGGGACTTGTAGTTTGGCAACAGCTGGAGGGCCGCCAGTTTGACACCCGTGCCTTAGAGTGTTGAGACAAACGATTTAACACTGACAGGAATGCTTACCATGGTCAGCTTTTATTAATTTATCCCAAAAGGAAAAAAAATGTTGCTGTAACTGTTTAAAAAGTGTTAGCTGGAATTAAGCTTCAACTTGTTGGTCGCTTCTGTAAAGTCTATCTAAATCTAATAGTCCATCTAATACTAATACTACCCTCTTCCTCTTCTCAAGGGTTTCTCTGTTGCTCCTCCAAAGATAGAGAAGCCACCCTAAGACAGGAAGCGTGTTACTAGCAGGATCACAAGGTGAAAATAAAGAAAAAGAAAAAAACTGAAAACTAATGCACACAAAAATTGCGGTTAACCCAAAATAAACAATCACTCTAAATAATACTATATCCCCTAGACACAAAAAGTTCCACTTTCTCCCCCCAACATTCAAAAAGTCAACACAACAGTCTCTCAGCGTCTGTGATAAATCCTTAAAATGATATACGTGCTCCCAAAATATAATCGACCTTCATGGAAACATTTCTTTTGATCCGTGTAAACCTCAAAAAAAGAAAACTCAATATAGTGCATTATCCCACATAAATACAAAAATATCATATAATCACCCTAACCTGGACACTAAGTG